GGGAGGGGACACGGGGACAAGGGAGGGGACACGGCCACGGGGGAGGGGACACCGGGAGGGACGAGGGACGGGGGTGGGACGGGGAGGAGCGGGCGGGGAAATGGGAGGGGAACAGGGACACGGGACAGGGAGGGGGACACAGGGGACACGGGGATGGCAGCACAGGGGGACAGGGGACACCGGGGATGGCGACACAGTGGACACGGGACAGGGATGGCAGCACGTGGGGACACAGGGATGGTCACAGAGCCGGGACATGGGACACACAGGGGACACAGGGATACAGGGACAGTGGGACACGGGACACAGGGACAGTGGCACAGGGGGGGACAGGGACAATGGTACACGAGACACGAGGATAGTGGCACAGGGTGACGCAGGGACGGTGGCACACGGGACACAGGGATGGTGGCACAGGGGACACACAGGGGTGGCAGCACAGAGGGGACACAGGGATAGTGACACACAAGGGACATAGGGCACACAGGGATGGCAGCACACAGGGGACACAGGGATAGTGACACACAGGGGACATGGGGCACACAGGGGTGGCAGCACACAGGGGACACAGGGATGGCAGCACGCGGCTGACACAGGGGACAGGGCACATGGGATGGCAGCACACAGGGGACACAGGGATGGTGGCACACAGGGGACACAGGGATGGTGGCACACGGGACACTGGGATGGTGGCACACGACACAATGGGATGGGGTGGCAGCACAGGGGGACACAGGGATGGCAGCACACAGGACAGAAAGAGACGGTGGCACAGGGGGACACAGGGATGATGGTACAGGGTGACACAGGCACAGTGGCACAGGGTGACACAGGCACAGTGACACAGGGGGACACAGGCACAGTGACACAGGGGGACACAGGGATGGTGGCACAGGGTGACACAGGCACGGTGGCACACGGTGCCACCAATGCCCGCAGGACACCAGGGACAGGGCGGGCAGAGGCACCATGGCGGGGCGGGGACACCGCGACAGGGGAGGGGACACCGGGACAGGGGAGGGGACACCGGGAGCAGTGGGCGGGGAAACGGGGGAGGGAGGGACAGGGGTGGGTGGCACCCGGGACACACGGGAATGGAGGGTGGCACTCAGGGGACAGGGCACCGGGGATGGCAGCACGCGGGACACGGGGTGGGGACACACAGGGGGACACGGGACACCGGGGATGGGGACACGGGGGACACGAGACAGGAATGGCAGCATATTGGAGACACAGGGATGGTGACACAGGAATTAAGGACATTCCCAGCTCCAGGGCTTTGGGATATCCCCAGCTCCAGGAACTAAGGATGTTCCCAGTTCCAGAGATTAAGGACATTCCCGGCTCCAGGGATATGGGACATTCCCAGCTCCAGGAATTAAGGACGTTCCCAGTTCCAGGGATTATGGACATTCCTGGCTCCAGGGATTTGGGACATTCCCAGCTCCAGGAATTAGGGACGTTCCCAGTTCCAGGGATTATGGACATTCCTGGTTCCAGGGATTCGGGACACTGGGCATTCCCGGCTCCAGGAAATTTGGGACATCTCCAGCTTCAGGGATTTGGGACATTCTCAACTCCAGGGATTTGGGACACTGGGCATTCTCAGCTCCAGGGATGTGGGACATTCCCGGCTCCAAGGATTTGGGACACTGGACACCCCCAGCTCCAAGGATTTGGGACATTCCCAGCTCCAGGAATTAAGGACATTCTCGGCTCCAGGGATTTAGGACATTCCCAACTCCAGAGATTTGGGACATTCCCAGCTCCAGGAATTAAGGACATTCCCAGCTCCAGGAATTAAGGACATTCCCGGCTCCAGGGATTTAGGACATTTCCAACTCCAGGGATATGGGACACTGGGAATTCCTGGGACACAGCCAGGAATGTCACCTGTCCTCTCCCACCCTTGGGAATGTCACCTTTCCACAGCTCCAGCACCTGGGCACGGAATCGCCGGGAAAAGAGGGATGAAATCCATCCCAAACCACCAATTCCGGGATGTTTCCCGCTGATCCATCCCGGTTTTCTTTTTTCAGTTGGGACTGCCGGGGGTCTCTCCCTCGGGAAAGGGGAGTTGGAAGCACCTTTGGCACCCCCAGCCCTTCATTCCCAACATTTCGGTCCTCCCGTATCCCAAGGTCTTTCCTTTCCCAAAGGGAACGAGGAAATCACGGAATGCTTTGGGTTGGAAAGGACCTGGAAGCTGCTCAAGTTCCAACCTCCTTCCGCTAGTCCAGGTTGCTCCAATATCCCAAAATTTCCCATGGAATCCCGCCGGAAACGGGAATAAACCCTCATTCCATGTGCACTTCCAACCTTCAGCTTTATTATTCCCGTTTCAGAGGGAAAAAGATCCCAGTTTTCCATCTAAATCTTGTTGAAGGCAGCGATGTCCACGCTCTGCACCTGGAATGAGAGCAGAGCCCTCCGGGTAATTCCAGGTGTTCCCAAGAAAACACA